TATTTCATGAAATTGATGTTTATGAGATTATTATGAGACATACAGTTGATGTATTGGCATGATTAGTGTGGTATGCTCTTATATGGTCCACTTGTATCTTTGAATTATTGGGCGGTCATTAAACTTTATCTGTTTGAAATTGGCTCCCCATTTTGATTCTGATTTTTATCAAAATGCATTTTTCTATCACTTTTTTTTAACCGCACATTCTTCATTAAAATAATATCAGATGTAAATTACAAACTTTTCTTTATTTTTCATCCAGACATTCCTTATCAATCTACCACTCGAAGATTTATTTTTCCAACAAAATGAGTATCAAACATCCTCTTAATTTTGTCCTTAGTTACAATTTAGACCCTGAAGTTAAATGCTTGTTACAATACAGTTGGATAATTTCAAAATCGACAAGACAATCTAGTTGGTAAATAAAGGATTGAATCGACTGTAACAACGTTTTAAGTTTAGTGGCCAGCTTTGAACATGATGAACTCTTGTAGTTGTGGATAACACGAAATTTTGCAAAGATTTCAATGTAATCTTATCTTGTAATTTTTGAGTTCATATTTCTATTTACTTAAATTGAAAATTTTTAACTCCGTGCTCAATAAAAAGTATACTTGCAACAATGTGTTTTTATTAGTTTTATGAAATATGAATTGTTAATCATCTTTTCTGGTCATCCGAACTTAAATCTTATTTGGTTATTGTTATTTCTGATTTTGTTATTTGGGTTATACAATGGAGTTTTTTTAACTTTTTATAGATGAAGTTTCTGTAGATTTTCTAAACTACATCTTTATTGTTTATTTGTGGGAACAAACATTCAGAATGCTTAGCTACAAAAAATTGTCTTCATTGTTGTTGTGAGCAGATACAGAGCTGTCACAAGTGCATATTATAGGGGAGCTGTTGGGGCTATGTTGGTTTATGACATTACAAAACGTCAGACCTTCGACCACATACCCCGTTGGCTAGAAGAGTTGCGTGCACATGCAGACAAGAACATTGTTATCATTCTGATTGGGAACAAAAGCGATCTTGAAGACCAGCGCTCGGTACCCACTGAGGATGCCAAGGAATTTGCTCAGACGGAAGAACTGTTTTTCTTAGAGACCTCGGCATTGGAAGCAACGAATGTAGAGAATGCATTCTTGACTGTTTTGACCGAGATCTTCAACATCGTGAATAAGAAAAATCTTGTTGCGGGCGATGATGAAGGCAATGGCAATCCTGCATCTTTATCTGGCAAGAAGATTATTATTCCTGGTCCTGCACAAGTAATTCCAGAAAAGAACAGGATGT